CCCCCCCCCCCCCCGCCAAATCTTTCCTAGATACTATATCCCCTTCCTGTTGAAGCTTCAATAAGGAGGCAATAAAAGCAAAGCACAGGAAAAAGAAAAACAATTAGAAACTCCAGGAAAGACAGAGTTGCGTTCAAGAATGTATAGCTCAGTCATCGCCCTGTTCCTCTGTTCTCTTTGTAGCAAAACCCCTCAGAAGAGTTGTGTGATCCCAATTCCCGCTTCCACATCCTCGCTTTCTCTTGAACACATTCTGAGCAGATCTCTCTGCCCTCTGAAGCCCTTTGTGTCGAGGCCCCCGCCTGACCTGTGTCTCACCAAAGCCAGTGATGACGACTCAGTCTTGGTCTGTCAGCAGGACTCGTTGTAGTTGGTGGCCCCCTGCTTCTCGAAACACCTTTGCCACTTGGTTTACAGGGCACCTGGTTTCCCTCTAATCTCCCTCTCAGGCTCCTCTGCTGTGCGTCCCCCTTCTCCTTCCCACTGGAAATTGCGGGCATCCGCGCGTAGCCCTGGAGCCTCCTGGCCGCCCCTCCTCGTGTCTCCTTCAGCTCCAGACTTGTTTACCAGTTGCCTCTCATCTGTGCTTGGGTATTTAGCCTCTTAAACCTAACAGTTCAACATTTCGGGTTGCCCCTCCCCCCAACTGCTCCCTGTTCTTTCCCGCCTCACTGAACTGCCCACCCAGTCCCTGTGGCTCAGATGCGGGTGGTCCTCACAGCCTCCCTCTGTGCTGCATGCCCCCCCCTCCCCGCCAGAGCCAGTGCACCCTCGGGCCCTCGGAGGGAGTATTTTCTGTATTTATTCATTAACCAGTAAGCATTGAGACTCCACCGCAGACTGGGTACTTGGGATACAGTGTGAGCAAAGCAACGTGTCCCCTGCCCCCTTCACCTCCCCCTCCCCACCCCGTGCAAAGGAGTCCTCAACCTGACGAGGTCCAGACATTAATCATAACATTGCACAAGTGACCACACCGCTGGTAGATGCTGCCAAGGGGCCTCGTTCCTGTGCGGACATGTGATAGTGGCCCGGCCTTGGGGGCCAGGGGACAGGAGAGCCTCGTACCCTCACAATTTAGAAAACACAAATGGATTCTCAGCGCTGCAGCAGTCAGCACCAGCAAAATTAGGTTCTGAGAAGCATTATAGGGGGTCTCATCAGGTTTCTGGGTGGAATTGGGATTTTTTTCAGCAGCCAAAAGTAAATAATTACAAAAGCCACGATGTGCCCTTGGGCCCCAGAACAGAATCATTCCTCCAGCCTCTTCCCATCGCTGTGCTCCTCAGGTGATCTCGACTCCGTCTGGGATGAGGGATGCAGAAAATCCCGGCTTTGCTGATAGCGCGCTTGCACTGGTACTGCCTCTCCATGGGAAATGCTTTTCCTTTCCAGGTTGTTCCAAGTTTCTTCCTTGACCTTCTCAATATTGATTCTAGGAGCCATCTTTCTTCTGGCGAATGTAACTTGTTTGCCCTTGAAAACACGAATTCCGTTTCCTGACTAGGGGTTTAGGCTTCCCGTCCCCCCTTTCAGGGAGACTCTTCCTACTTCCTCATTCATATTTGTCCGAATTCAAATCAAACTACTTCCATTTTCTCTTCTCTACCTTTTCCTTTACAGTCTCGAGGCATCGCAAGAGTCAGTATCCTGAACTGTTTTACTTTATGGTTGCTCCCGTGCACAGCTGGGGTTACAGGTTCCTAGGCGCGCACGTGAATAGCTGGGTTAGGTTTGGTCTGGTTAGGAGTTCGCTGTCCTCTGCATTTTCCGTGGTTATCAAGTCTTTGTGTAGCTCCTTTGATTAACATGATGCTACAGAGGGAAGAGCTGAGAAGCCCTGCTTTTCTGCCTCCAGTCTGATCTCACGTTGTCTCAGCTGAGTCTTCCTCGTGTCTGAGTGGCTCACACCTGTCGTGTAGGGCGTGGGAGAGATGTCAGATAC